CTTTAAGGTCCTTTCCAACCCAAGTCAGCCTGCGATTCTGTGATTCTCGCTCACTGGCTCCTGACACGCATCTCTCTCCCTGCAGGAGCCCTGAAGTCCATCATGAAGAAGCAGGATGGTCCCCCCCGGAGCAAGGCAGAGGGCAGCAAGAAGAGCCTGCAGTTTGTGGGCGTGCTGAACGGGGAGTACGTGCTGAGGGGCCAGAGCCAGTCCCAGCCCCAGCATCTCCATCCTGGGCCGGGGGCAGAGGCGACGGCAGGGCCTGGAGGGGACCGGCCAGGTGCTGCGTTGCCACTGAGCATCCTCCCTCTGTGCAGGTATGAGAGCACATCCAGTGAGGAGGATGAGGAAGAAGGTGACAGCTCCTCTGAGAAGGCTTCGGACAACAGCTCCGACAGCTCCGAGCAGGGAGACAGCGAAACCTCAGAGGAAGAGGCTGGGGAAGGTGTGTGCAAGCCAGGACAGGAGTGTGAGGGGACTGATGTGACCCTGCCAGAGCCCCCCGAGGTGAAGGAGAAGTAAGTGCTGATGGGGAAGCCTCTCTGGCCCTTCACAGCTGGGAGCTATGGGCTGGCACCTCCCCTGGCTTGGGTGCAGCTCATGGCAAAAACACATTCAGCTCCTGCAGAAACCATTTGGCAGGAAACAATCCTTCCAGCTTCTTGGGTCAGCTAAGGAAAGGATGAGAGGCCCCAAATGCCTCTTTGTTGCAGAAGATAGTTTGGAGGGGGGCAAAAAAGCCAGCAGCCCTCAATGGCATTTTTCAACAAAAGGAAAAAATTTGGCCTAGGAATGGGTAACTCGTGCCTGAGCACGTCCATATGAGGCTCTTCCCCGGAGGTTTGCGGAGGCTGAAGCCGCCGGGGCGCAGCCTGGGGAGCTCGGGGAGACTCACAGGGGTCAGGGAGCTCCACGGGGGGACTCAGGGTGCCCCAGCCCCACACCACAGCCCTCGTGCTCCCCCCAGGTTCGAGCTGAGCCCCAGGATGCGGGAGGCCTGCCTCATTGTCAAGACCCACCTGGGCCACCCCGGTGCCAGCAAGAGCAAGGAGGTGGTGAGTAGGGTGCTGGGGTGGGACAGCTTGCCCAGCCCCTGAGAGGGGCCAGCAGGAGCCCATCTCAGCACCTTCCCCCAGGATAGAGCCCATTGATCCAGGCTTTGTCCCAGATACTCCAAAACCCAGGTGGACTCAGCTCAGGCCGTTCCAGCACGGGTGTGGGGGTTTCGGGGTCCTGCCCTCAGCCAGCCCCCCTGGAGCAGGGACTGTGCTTCCCACCAGGGCTGGCAGTGGGGTGTGGGGCTGTGCAGAGGCTCAGGGGGCGGCCCCGGGGCAGCCCCCTCCTGCCCAC